AGATCAATCTCCAATACAAGAAATAAAAATAAACATATTTTGTTTCCTCAGCGTCGGTTATATGAAGTTTATTGAGTCTCTGGAAATTTAGAGAGATGACAGGAAAATTAGATGCCATGCCCCATGGATCTCTTAGCTCCTCCATGATCCCTGGCTTGGTGTGGCATACACAGTAAAAGATTTTGTTGATAAGATATTGACATTGATAAGATGGACATTCCAAAACTCCCATGAAATATTCCAGTTTCAAAAAATTCTAACCTGAGAAGCCCTGGATATCTCACTGAAGACCTAGGCCATTAGTTCATCAGACGACTGCATGTTTTATGGTCTTATTAAGAGTGGACCTTTGGATATTTCTGCCCTATATTTCTCTTGATCCAGACCCTTAAGGATTCACATAGTGGATCTTTCATGGTAGGTCCATGCTGGAGGGTTTCCTAGTCTGGATCTCTTTATCTATGCTAGAGATGTACTTGCAAGACATAACAAAGAACCTGCCAACTATGATTCTAGTTTTAACCAAAATCAGGCAATTCTCTATGGGCTGCTGAAATCAGGCTTTTGTTTAAAGTTCTTTCCATGAAATTTATAATGAACAAGGACTAAGACCTCTAAGGAATATTAAGATAAACATTATTTACTGTTGACATTTCAAACCAAGTAGATTAAAAAGTGAATGTTTTAATTTTTTATCCCAAAACATGAACTCCCTAAAGAACCATCAAATTTAGTAAGTTAGAAACTACAGATATGTTAAATTAATAGGCATAATATCAAGAAAAGGATCTCAGTACTATAAATAATAATTATTAAATTTACTTACTTCCTTTGATACAAATAGAAACATAAAGGGTTTCTTTATTTTAAGAAAACTGTGTTAAGGGAAATGAAATTTTGCTTTTGGAATCTGATCCAGATACAGTAAATGCAGATCCTCTCTTAAATATACTTTGCATAAGAAAAAAAAAAGTTTGAATATATTGTGAACATAGACTGATGAAAGTAATTTTCATATGGGGCTTATAAAAATATATCTTGCTACTTTAAAATCCCAACATGTATTGGTGTTAAATAATTTGTTTAGATCTGAAAAACAAGTCTGTAAGTGGGCATCATGCATCAGTTCCAGGTTGAGAGCAGATATGGGGTAGATGTTTCCGACACTGCCATGAGGAATCAGTAGACGATTCTAGGAGTCAGGGCAGGCTGGGCATGAGAAAATCCGGAAAGGTTTTCCAGCAAGAAGGAAAAGGCAGAGAGTCAAGGTCGGAGGGTGGGAATTCTGTAGGAGTTGAGGACCAGAAATCAGCTCTTCAAGTTTTTGATTATCTGATGGCTGCCTCTTTGAAACCCTCTCTCCTGGTCTTTGTGACACAGCACTCTTCTGGTTCTCATATTTTACCATCCTTTTGGTTCCTGTGGCTTCACATTGACATCCCTATCCATTCTGTGCTGTTTGTAATACTTAGATGTTCAACTGTATGTTAGATATTTCTACTTGGTGGCTTGTCACTCTATTCAAAACAGAAATAATACTACTACACTCTCCCCAACTTACGGCTCCCTCTCTACTCTCATTGCCATGGCATTACTTAACTTCAGTTGGAGTCATATTTCATGGTGCTCTCTCAACTCTCCCCTCTCCTTCCATTTTTCATCCTGTATCATATTCTATAGATTCTATTACTCTTTGACAAAAATAGTTGCTACCCCTTCACCACCCCTCCTGCCACCACACTAGTTCACCTCTTACCTAGTTCCCACCACTACACTGGCACCTCTCACCTAGCACAACATTTCCTACTGGTTTCTAGCAGAAGATTCATTCCTAAAAATGGTGCTAGAAAAAAAAAGATTCCCATTATCAACCGAAATTTGAAAAATGCAGCATATGTTATTTTCTTCTTGGCCAGCCATAATGCACATTAGCAAATTACTGATAATTTTCAGAGCCACCTGTCCTGGAACTCTGTTGTCACATAACATTTATCAACATCTAGGTACTCACGTTCCAGAAAACACACTTCAGGAAAAAATGACTTGGACTATTTAAATGGCTTCTAAACTGCTCTTTTTGCCTAATCTTTCCCTTTCCAGTGTACCTACAATTTCAATGATAGATTAATTCCTCTCAAATGCTTAACTGATTATATTATTCCTTTGCTCAAAACCTTCAGTGGCTCCCCACTGATCTAAGCAGTGATTTAAGCACCAGGCTCTCCACAACATGGTACCAATATTCCTTTCCAGTATTATCTCCCTGCCCCCCACATGGCAGGGTGGCACAGGAGAAGACGTGAACTTTGGAGTCAGACCCAGGTTCAAATTCCAGCTGTCCTTTAAAAAGTACGAAACCATAGGCAAGTGATTTATTGCTTTGAACCCTTTCTTTGCTCATCTGCACATGCAGGAAGTAATTGTGTAGATGGGAGGATGTAGTGAGATAGTATTTGTGAAAGCTTCCTGCACAACTGTAGCACAACACTCTCTGGCCCCGCGGGCTGTAAACTCATTAGGCAGATTGAGCCTCTTTCATGTGGTGGTCACTTAGTGTCTGCCTCTGGCAAGTGAACAATAATCGTTTAAAATTAAGAACCCAGAATTCCCACTTACTAGTGTCGATAAAAACTGATTAATAAAGCGATTTTTGGCCTTTATTTGGGGTATTTTCTATGGTCCCGAAGGGACAGGAGCCAGTTCCCATAGCACATCCAAGCTTTTTAGATGGAACTATGCCACTGGCCCTTGGCTAAGTGGGGTGTGCAGGGCCCAAGAATCAACATCAGTGCCTAGAAAGCAAATCCCTGATTCACAGAGATGAAACAAAAGCCCAATGCGAGAGTCAGAAAGCTATACCTTTGTTAGATTTAGAAAAGCTTAAAAGTGCTTATGATTTCACTTGAAAGTCCAACATGAACAAAATACAAAGCCCTCAATACCCCTTCCTAAGAAGGAAAAGGGGATTTTTGTTTGATGTGTTCACTAGTGTAGCCTAAGTGCCTGGAACAATGTCTTGCACATAGGGGATGCTCAATTAATATATGATGGATGGATGGATGGATACATCTATATGCTCTAGCATAGTGCTGAGTATACAGATCTTTAATAAATTCTTGACTGGACTTGACAGGCTAAATATGTGGATTTATAGCCTATCAAGTCAAAGGCATTTAATAATGTACCTTGAGCTAAACATCGTTCCTATATATTTCTGCTTTATAAGATATTATTATCTATATTATCATCATTCTCCTTTTTCTTTTTTCTTTTTTTTTGCGGTACGCGGGCCTCTCACTGTTGTGGCCTCTCCCGTTGCGGAGCACAGGCTCCGGATGCGCAGGCTCAGCGGTCATGGCTCACGGACCCAGCCGCTTCGCGGCAGGTGGGATCTTCCCAGACCGGGGCACGAAGCTGTGTCCCCTGCATCGGCAGGTGGACTCTCAACCACTGCGCCACCAGGGAAGACCAAGAATGTTACATTTTATACACTGCATATTTTTCCTTCAGCACTGCACCACTCAAAATTTTTGTAACTATCATTCCTGTATGAGGGGAGAATAGCCAGATTTCTCCTTCACAGTTACAGGAACAAAGGCTCAGCAAAGTTAATGATCTATAGATCCAATAAGAAGTAGATGCAGGGGTGGAATCTAGGTCTCCTGAATATCCAGGAGTAAATACAGTTTGGAAGTGTAAAGTGAGCCTGACACGTTTAGAGCACATGAATAGTTAGGCTGAATAGGAGCATTTGGCTGGAATGAAGGAGTATATAGAAAAATCATAGGAAATCAGGTTAAAGAAATAAATAAGAGATAGATTACAGAGCACTTTAAATAATACAATAAGAATTTAGACTTTTAGCCATAATTTTGAAACTATTTTTAAAACAATAAAATCCTTTTTTAATAAGAAACCTTACATGAGACGCCAATATGTAAAATAAATTAAAAGGAGGTGGTTCCTTCAATAGAAGCTGTTCCCCCTTCCTGTCCTCAGCCTCTCAGAAGAAGAGTTTGAAAACCATGAAAAAAGGTTTGAAAAGTGTGAAAAGTCATGAATGCAGACATGTTTGGGGCAAAGCGGTGACATAGCAAGTGGCATAGAGACCAGGTGGAGGGCCCACTGCGGAGGCGGAAACTCAGAGAGGGGACTGCTAGAGCTGCCAGCGGGGAGGGAAGGCAAAGATGCCGGAGACAAAAGAAGAATCAGAACCAAGATGGGACAGACTAGTTCAGAGATTCGTACTTGGCAGATGTGGAAGGACAGTACAGTCACAGAATTGGTGAAGAGCAAAGGAGAAGGCTGCTGGTTTTGATGAAAGGCAAGGATGTATTTTAACGGTGTTTTTGTCAGACATTCCTCCTATGCTATGCAGTGGTCGGAGAAATAGAAAGCAGCACTTTTTTCTCTACCAGTTTTCTTCCCTTTTCAAACAGATGAAACGAAAACAGATGAAAACAAAAAAAGCAAGAACCAGAAAGCTGAACTTCATTATATTTAAAATTTTAAGTGCTTGAGATTTCACCTGAAAGCACAACATAAAGAAAATACAGAATTCTCAATGCCCCATTGCAAGAAGGAAAAAGAACCATTTCCATCTTTGTAACATTTCTGTCCTTCACATAATCTGGATAACTAGCACATTCAATTTTATGTTTAAAAACTATTTACCCCACTGTGGAGTTAAGTATCATGAAATGATTTACTTCAAGTATAATTATTTTAAGATTCAGGATTTTTCTTGTGCTTTTTAAAAATAAAAGATGAAAGTGAAACTTGTTGAGTATGTGCATCTGACCAACTGCAGGAATTCCAAAGCGGATGGTTTTGATTGAGAACAAATAACAGTTTGGGGCACACTGAGTTTGATGAGGACTACCTCCTCTTCCTCCGCGTTTCTGAGACTGGTGATGCAACGTGCTCCCGCCCTTTTCTGAGAACACGGAAAGCCTGACTCAGGAAGGCAGCTGCAGCTCTTAAAAAGAGCTCCAGCCCGGCCCCCTTCCCTGCTGGGGCGAGCGCCACCGCAAAGATGAAGCTGGCGAAGTGGTGCTGGCTGAGCTCCGCTGTCCTTGCTGCTTATGGTTTTCTGGTTGTGGCAAACAATGAAACAGAGGAAATTAAAGAGGAAGCAGCCCAGGACGCCTGCCCGGTGAGAGTAGAAAGCAGAGCGAAATGCGAGGAGGGAGGCGACTGTCCCTACCAGGTGAACCTGCCCCCGCTGACTATTCAGCTCCCCAAGCAGTTTGGCAGGATCGAGGAGGTGTTCAAAGAAGTCCAGAACCTCAAGGAAATCGTAAAGAGCCTGAAGAAGTCTTGCCAAGACTGCAAACTGCAGGCTGATGACAACCGAGACCTGGGCAGAAGTGGACTGCTGTTACCCGGCACAGGAGCTCTGGGAGAAGCTGATGACAACAGAGTTAGAGAGTTAGAGAGCGAGGTTAACAAGCTGTCCTCTGACCTTAAGGATGCCAAGGAGGAGATCGACGTGCTTCAGGGTCGCCTGGAGAAACTGAATCTTGTAAATATGAACAACATAGAACAGTATGTTGATACCAAAGTGGCAAACCTAACATTTGTTGTCAATAGTTTGGATGGCAAATGTTCATCTAAGTGTCCCACTCAAGAACAAATACAATCACGTCCAGGTATGTATAATAATGTTTTCTTATCATTTGTTCATGAATGTTATATAGCTAGACAGTATCCATAAACATTAACCTTATCATATAACTTAAATAAAGGATGTATTATATAAGTTAAGCCTTTTATTCATCAAGGTAATACAGAAAAAACTATTATCTTTGCACATGTGCCCACAGAAAGGAATAGGACCTGATTACAAAAAATCATGAGTTCTGTATGCGTTAGAAAGCACTTTCAATTTCAAAGATCTTATTTGCTGACGCCAGAGCTACACACAAACAGAAGTGGAAGGAGAGAATTTCTTTTCTTTTTTTTTTAAAAAAACATCTTTATTGGAGTATAATTGCTTTACAGTGGTGTGTTAGTTTCTGCTGTATAACAAAGTGAAGCAGCTATATGTACACATATATCCCCATATCTTCTCCCTCTTGAGTCTCCCTCCCACCCTCCCTATCCCACCCGTCTAGGTGGTCACAAAGCACCGAGCTGATCTCCCTGTGCCATGCGGCTGCTTCCCACTAGCTATCTATTTTACATCTGGTAGTGTATATATGTCCATGCCACTCTCTCACTTACTCCCAGCTTCTCCTTCCCCCTCCCCATGTCCTCAAGTCCGTTCTCTACATCTGCATCTTTATTCCTGCCCTGCCCCTAGGTTCTACAGAACCATTTTTTTCTTTTTTTGTGAGTCCATATATATGTGTTAGCATATGGTATTTGTTTTCCTGACTTACTTCACTCTGTGTGACAGACTCTAGGTCCATCCACCTCACTACAAATAACTCAATTTCATTTCTTTTTATGGCAGAGTAATATTCTAAGAGAATTTCTTAATGTTTCAGTGAGTTTAACTTATTTATCTCTTCACTGAAGTGTTTGAAAACAGTAGAATTAAGGCAGTGTTTGTGGTTGTACTCTGTTCTTTGGAAATCAGTTTATTTGTGTGGTCAGGTGACTGCTCCTTATATGGCAACAAGAGACCTCTGAAAGATTTTAGCAAGTAATCTGCAGTTCATAATCCCAAATGTCTAGTGGAAATGGGAGATTTTATAGATGGGTTAAAAGCAGCTATATGGCTTCATATGTGTGCAAAACTTTTTGCTTTTAGACCTAGTGGCCCAAAAACATTTTAAGGGGCGTTTTGGCATGCCACTAAGGGAAGGCATACATTCTTGTTTCTTCCTCTCTTTCACTAGAATTCAAGCATGTAACAGTAGAACCCATCTTCCCCATCCAAATTATTTGCTGATAATCTGAATTAGCTTTAATAAATATATGTTAAAGGCCATAAACCTAACTGCCTGTTCTGCCCACGAACTGCTAGCTGTGGCACTGGTTCCCCCAAACCCTGGTTTTTCCACATGAGTTTCTGGGACCATTGCTGATGGTGGTCTTATCACACTTTGGAAAGCCATCTCTGCATGAGTGCGAGGTTGAAGGGATATGGTGCCTGAAGCAGAGATCATGGCCCTTAGAAACAAGCACTTCATGCATCTTCCCTAGGTAGATTCCCCGGGGAATCTACCCAGTGAAGGTATTTGGGAGATTCCAGGACCACTGTTGCTAATAGTCCCAGCAGCCTGCATCTAAATGTGCCCTGCACATAGCAAGGCAGAGTTTCACATCTTAGGTGACATACGTGGGTGAACATTAGATGTGGTACTGCATGGCAATTTGTAATGACAAGAACAAGATTCTACTGTCTTTTTTTCTACTAAGTTTTGGGGAACTATCTGAATATTCTGAGTTCTAAGTACACATGAATAGATTATTTGTGGCTCATAAGTGGCTTGTATTAAACTTGCCTGATCCAGTACCAATCTTTTAGAAAATTATTTTGGAGTAAATATCTGTATTGGTTCCTACAGAACCACATTAGCTCTTTATTACACTTATCCTGAGCATAATCACCTGTGGTTTCCTTCTAGAAACCAGACATGTGAAACACTAGCTAAATATTTTCCTGGATAATAAATTCACAGTAAGAATATTGGTATATTATTGAAGTTTTTAAAAACAACTTAAGCTTCTGTATCTAATTGTCAAGCAAGTAAAATAAATGGAAATGTTGATCAATGCTTTTTTTTTAGAATTTTAATAAATCATTTGGAACGATCCTATAAAACTGCCTGAAAGTGGAGTCTATCAGCCTCTTTAGGTAAAAGGATATAGAAGCCTGTGCTTCCTCTGTATACATGGAATGCAGTTCTAGGAGAGTTGGAATCATCTGACTTTCAGGACCAAGGGATGCAGTGGTCACAAGGACAAGCTTTGCAGCCAGCCAGATCTGAGCTCTGTCCTGGCTCTGCCTTTTAAAGCTTCTGTGAAGTTGGACAAGCCACGGATCCTTTTTGAGCCTAATATTCTTTCTCACCAGCGGGTTGTTAGTAATATCTACATCATAAAGTTCATGTGCAGATTAAGTGTGAAAATGTTATCAAGTCTTTGGCAGAATCCCTAGAACACATGCGGAGCCCTCACTAAATATTACTGAGTTACTAAAACTATCGCTTTTATTTCTTCTTGTTGTTGTTTGTTGGTGGTGTTGTCAGTATCATTACCAACCAAGACTGTGCTTGGGAGCTTTTTCTGCTTTATGACACCAGGTTCTTGTTCTGAGGCGTTAACAAGCATTTGCTAAACAGGCTCAAGTAAGTTTAGCTGAGCAAGGTTTCATTATCACCATTGATCAAATTATAAAACTGCTTTCGTGCATATGCCTAGTTTTTATCAACAAAATCCAATGCCTTTCTTTTTTTACTCCTGCAGTTCAACATCTTATATATAAAGATTGCTCTGAATACTACACGATAGGCAAAAGAAGCAGTGAGCTCTACAGAGTTACACCGGATCCCAAAAATAGTAGCTTCGAGGTTTTCTGTGACATGGAGACCATGGGGGGAGGCTGGACAGTGCTGCAGGCACGTGTTGATGGAAGCACCAACTTCACCAGAACGTGGCAAGACTACAAAGTAGGCTTTGGAAACCCCAGAAGAGAATTTTGGCTGGGGAACGATAAAATCCATCTTCTGACTAAGAGTAAGGACATGATTCTCAGAATAGATCTTGAAGACTTTAACGGTGTCAAACTCTATGCCTTGTATGATCACTTTTATGTGGCCAACGAGTTTCTCAAATACCGTTTACACATTGGTAACTATAATGGCACAGCTGGAGATGCCTTACATTTCAGTAAACATTACAACCACGATCTGAAGTTTTTCACCACCCCGGACAGAGACAACGATCGATACCCTTCTGGGAACTGTGGGCTGTACTACAGTTCAGGCTGGTGGTTTGATGCATGTCTTTCTGCAAACTTAAATGGCAAATATTATCACCAGAAATACAGAGGTGTCCGAAATGGGATTTTCTGGGGGACCTGGCCTGGTATAAGTGAGGCACAACCTGGTGGCTACAAGTCCTCCTTCAAAGAAGTCAAAATGCTGATCAGACCCAAGCACTTTAAGCCATAAATCACTAATGCTCATTCTTTTGGGTATTCATTACCTAATAGGGCAATTAATTCCTTCAGCACTTTGGAATATATTTCATACTCTTTTTCCATGGCTTAAAATTTCTCTCTGAGCAATGGGTTCTTATGCTATACAGCATTTGAAATAAAGCTGAAAAATATGCCATTTAAAGAAGTCCTTTGTTGCTGTTATGCTGTTGTCAAAATAAACACGTGCAAGCAATTGGGAGTATTGAGAATCACACATTAGATTTATAATTCTCTTAATGTCTCTTATTTGAAAAGTTTTTACTCATATTACTCTAATTAAAAAAATACTTGTTTATTCAGTAGGCTAGATTTTACACAAGTAACCTGTATTTTGACTGTGACTTAAACGCATCTTTTCAGGCTATAAATAGTTATTGGGTATTTATTTGTCTCTAAATACCCTATTCCTCATTCTGAGATAAACTTACTCAATTTATGGCATTTACAGCATTTTAATTCCCAAGCAAAGGGAAACATACGTAATTAAACCTGTTCCTGCACTATTCGTGAAATGTAAAATTTTATCATTTAAAATATTTTAAAAGGTGATAGCATAATGTCACTCCTAAAAGCATTCAGAAAATGAATTTAACCTTAAAGACCATGGTTTAAAGGTAATTCATTCATAGTTTATAACTCTTTAGATGTTTGATGGTAAAAACTGCTTTAACATGAAAAATATCTTCCTTTGCTGTAATGTACAATTGTTTTTAATTTAAGACTGCTCACTACTGTGCGAGACTACTGGTAGACTTTCTTTTGGAGAGGTAGGTGTGGGTGAGGAATGAAGCACTTATATATGGGCCAGTTTTATATCCAAAGCAATAATATCATTAAGTGATTCACTTCATAGAAAGCTAGGTTTTATAGGACAAATAGGTAAATCTATTTATAAAAAAATATGAATTTTGAAATATATAGAACTGTAGTTCAAATATTATATATTTCAACCCTAAATGGTATATTGCTTGTTTTGCTGTCAGAAGGTTCAAATACAGGTGTTTATTATTTTTAACAAAACGAAAGTATCTGGAACTTTTATAATTCATTAATTAATTCCAGAGTGCAAAAATGATATTCAAAAGATTATAAAAATAGTTTGTTAAATTTCACCATTGTAAAAAGGGACCATTTCAGAGAGAACAGCTGTATTCTAATGCATGTTTAAAAAAGTGCTCTAGGATAAAATTTGAAAAGGATACACTGTACTGTATGTGAGTCATAGAAATACATTCAATGTTCAATTTCTGGTGTCTGTTTCTTCTAAAGTAACCAAGTTTTCAAAAATAAATTCACAGAGATGCAGCTTTACCCATTATTTGAAAATGATTAAGGAGGATAGTAGCTTTAGGTAAGAAGTTAATTTTTCAACTAATGTCTTTTATAGAAAATTCTAATCAAAAAGAAGCAAGATATTCTTTTAAAAATATATAACATACAAAGTGCTCAGGTAAACATGCAAACTATATTATTAATACTATTAAAATACTAAAGAGAAATGCAAATAGAATTAAGGGATGACAAAAATATAAAATATCGTTGTAGATTTCAAAGGCTTCATATCTACTCAATAATACATCAAATGTAAATGTTGTAACTAATTTATTCTTTATTTCTCTCTCTTTTCTGTTTTCTAAAAAAGACTATGAAGATTTTGATATTATACAATGTATTAATTTCAGATAAGGGCATTTTCACTTACTATATATAACTATTAATATATGTGTAAGTTTAGGTAAATTTCTGTGATAAAAATGGACTCCTTAAAAAAATACAGTTCTAAAGAAACATAGCTCATATAGCAAGTGTCCACTGATTTAATAGGAACTAGGTATCATTTCAGGAGAATTTGGCAAATAATTCATTAATCTACGTAAATACTTAAAAGCTTATCTTTCTTTCCACCTTATATTAAGTAACTAAAATTTTAATTCCCATTATACTTTTATGGCACCTTTCTAATAACAAACTCTGTAACGTAGAAATTCCTTTTTGAAATCATTTCATGTCACTTATTATATTATAAAATATATTTTAGATTTTGGTAATCTTTAACATATTGATGGAAATAGATTATATCTGAGAGAGTCTTTTGCCTTAACATAACTGTTCACTAATATATGCTAATGTTCATAAATGTGGATTGACTACTAACAAATACATTATTTTAGAGTCTTGTCTCGGTTTCATTTTACTGGCTAATATTATCTTAATTAACAAATTATTTCTGAGCTTTATCATACTTTGAAAATATTGACTAAAATTAGGCCTCTAGAAATTCCAAATGGAACTGGCTCACGTATCACAGAAAAAAAATTGGATTTTCTGATAAGTAGTAATGCTCTAAATGAAATGATGACACGTGCATCCAGTAAATAAAGAGCTTAAATATACGACGATAAAAGACATCCAAATAACAAACTTCACTGGTCCTTATTTCTGAATGGCTACCCAAGGAAAGGGTAGAATGTTTAAAGGTAAAGAAAGATGGGTAATGTCGTCATGATAAGCTCTTGCTTAGAATTCTTATTTTCCTTTATGTATAAATAGGTTTATGTTTTGTGTCTTTTAAAAACCTTGTGAAATAAAAGATTTAATCTTCTCATCTATTTATTTCTTCAATGCAGAAACATTAAGTATTATTTGTAAAGTAATTTTTATATATTTACTCTTGGCTGAAAACTTGCATAATGTTTACCTAACTACACAATATCTTTGACACTGTGAAGACTTTAATGAGTACTATTTCATTAACAGGAAGACAGAGACAAACACAGGAACACCATTATCTTATTTCCCTCTAGAACACTGTTGACACATTTGAAATACAGAAGTTTCAGTTTCATTTTGCAGCGTTCAACTCCATCTCCCTTTTTTTCCATCATTCTTGTTGCTGTTCTGGTTTAGCCCTCATCATCCTCTTAGGATAATGCAAGCTCTTCCTAATAGTGACCTGTGTCCCCAGTTTGAATCTATTCCAATCCATCCTCCATATCACTGCCACAGGGATTATTCAAAAATACAATTCTGATCATGTTATTTTCCTGCTTAAAACCTGTCAACAGCTCCTCATTTTGTATATGATAAAATCCAGCAGATAAGCCCCTTCGTGAACCGATTTCTGCCTACCCTTTCAGTGTCCTTTCTGCCACTACCCACTCCTGCCAAACTGAATGCCTTGTTGTTCTAGTACAAACCATATTCTCTCATATTTTCATTACTTTGTGTTACTGTTCCCTTGGTCTAGATAGAATGCCATCCTTGACCCCCACTGAGTTTTGTCTTATTATCCATAATTAAGAGCAGGGACTCAGCAGCCAGACTAACTAGGTATGAATATCAGCTCCATTATTTGCAAGCTGTGTGAAAACAGGCAAAATCACTTAATCTCATTGTTCTTTGGTTCCTTCAATTATAAAACTGGGATAACAGTAGAATAGAGTTATTGAGACGATTAAATGAGATAGCATATGCAAAGCACCTAGAACATACATATATATTATCATCATCATCATCATCCTAAATAATTATCTTTCCTGGGCAGTCTTCCCTGATGACATCAGGAGGGGTTTGGTGCCTTGTCTCTTTGGTCCTATACCGTCCTATATATTCCTTATTATATATTACATTATTCCATAATCGTCTAGGTTCTACCCTAAAATCGATCTGTTAGGCTAGGATGTGAAGGAAATTTGAGACAAGAGTATTATTACTCAAAGTGGTTCATGAATATGTTGCCATAGATGAAGAGCTGTAGTCTAAAGAAGCCAAAGTTACAACTGGGGAAGGAGTAGGTACCATCAAATCTGAGGATCTGGGAGATTGTGAATGCAGTTTAGAAGTGATTGACTTCAGGGGAGGATATGGCAAGACAGGATCACATATACTGTAGCATTGCATACATAAGAATGACAAACTTTTAGAAGGGGTTCTAGGAACATGCCTCTGGGTATATATCATGCAGAGGAGTATGGTTGTACTAGGCCAGACAGTGATGGTTCTACCTGGCTGAGTTCCTAAAGAAAAAAGTAGTTTTTCATACTTATACCATATTGCAAATTTGAAATTAATTTTAATCATACCAAATGCATAAATGCTTTAATATTTTTTAAATTATAGCTTAGACTAAAGACCCCTTTGCAAACCACCTTCGATTCCAATGTCCTCCCTCTCCCCAGAGGTAACAAGCAGAGTTGGCTGAATCCAAACTCGAATTTCATTCTGTGCATTGCCAATTTGCAATGTTTACTGAGTCATAGCTCTGCCAGGTTTCTTTTGTTTATTGATTGGGAAGAGTTGGAAGTGACAATAGGAGTGAGGGAAATTGGGGGTACTTGGAGAACTCGGAGTCCCCTGAATTCCCAAATGTGACTGAGCCTCCGTGACTCCTTGGAGTGGTCCCTCCCCCACATTAGATAGAGGTCTTCTTGCTGAAGGCACTGTTGTCTTCTTTCCTGAGAGAGTAATCTTTCAAAAAAAATTTTAATACAGTTTTTAAAGGTTACTTTCCGTTTACAGTCATTACAAACTATTGGCTATACTGCCCATGTTACACAGTACATCCTTGGGTCTATCTTATACCCAATAGTTTGTACCTCCTGCTCTCCCACCCCTATATTGCCCCTCTTCCCTCCCCACTGGTAATCACTAGTTTGTTCTCTATGTCTGTGAGTCTGCTTCTTTTTGTTATATTCACTATTTTGTTGTATTTTCTCGATTCCACATAGAAGTGATATCATTTAGTATTTATCTTTCTCTGTCTGGCTTGTTTCACTTAGCATAATGCCCTCCAAGTCCATCCATGTTACTGCAAATGACAAAATTTCATTCTTTTTTATGGCTGAGTAGTATTCCATTGTATTTATATACCACATCTTCTTTATCCATTCATCTGTTGATGGACGCTTAGGTTGCTTCCATATCTTGGCAATTGTAAATAATGCCACCATGAACGTTGGGGTGCATGTATCTTGACAGCTACATGTAAAAGAATGAAATTAGAACATTCTCTATCAAATGGATTAAAGACCTAAATGTAAGATTGGATACTATAAAACTCATAGAGGAAAACATAGGCAGAACACTCTGACATAAATAGCAGCAATATTTTTTTGAATTTGTCTCCTAAAGTAGAGGAAATAA